ACGGCGGAGGTGGCCGCGCGGGAGAAAGGGCGAGAGAGAGAGGGGGACGGCCGCTAGGGTTAGGGTTTTGTGTGTGTTGTGCTAGGGCTATAAATCATGTATTTATAGTCCCTTGCATAAAACCCTAGCGGGCTTAAGTTGGACTGGGCCCAACAGCTTAAGCTCGTTAGTTTCTTTACTCGCTCGTATCTCTCAGTTCAATGATCGAAAAATTGTAACGATTACATTTTCCGAGTCATTATAATTTTCTCGTCATTACGAGTGCCATCTCTCATTTTCCAACTTTCCAAAAGTGGAAACCCTAGTTCAGTGGACTTTCTAAATTTGGAAACTTCCCGATTTAGAAAGTTCACTAACGTGTTCGCTTATTCTTTCCCTTTTCTTATTCTCATTCATAATTCCAAATTACGAATGTTGGACTCAATCATATTGACTTCCAATTATGCAAAGATAAACTATTTTATCTCTGACCGTTTATTCAAAGATCTCATGTGCACGAGCAGTGTGACCCTCGATGGTTCAGGTGTAAGCTAGCCGTGGGCCCACAACTCTTTGTGGTCAAAACTCGTCCCTTAGAGTTACAATTAAGATGAAGCTCGTTTCATCTCAATCACCCAACGAATCAAGATTGGCGTCTAGCAACTACGCGTCATGATTCCCTAGATACAAATGAAGTGCCTGCAAGAACCTTCAGATATAGTTAACGTACAGTACGGTCCCTTCGATTCATATGTCCCGATTGAACTAGAGGCATTGGTTCATCGAGACCTCTTTATATGTTCAATAACGGTGCGATCGTTCTAAGTGTTGTAATCCTTTCGTGCATGACTTAGAGAATCGAATTCTCTAATCATCACTTAGTCAGCTCTGGCCAGAGACTTAGAATGATTACAAACTTTCAGAACACACAGGACATCCAAGACTATTCTAGCGATCGAATCCCCGACTACAATGCACAGACCTCCCACTAGATTTCGGACTGCACGAACACTGGCCCTTGGGATGGTCCTCGGTGGAACTCAGGGACAGGTCACGATACAGCTGGTCCTCTAGTGAAGTCACGGTGATGTCTAGGTCATAAGGACTAATGGTGTACAACTATACCATAGATATCTCTACTCGATTATTGGGAACCACTTAGAGATTTCTAGGGTGAGGGAGTTCAGTGAACTCGTCAACTTACGAGCACCCACTTATGCATGCCGATATCACAATACCGTTTACTGATGAGATGCAGTACACATACACTAAGTGCTAGTCTTAATGGGAAAGGCCGATATCCTCATTAGTGGCGTAACCCTTCGACTAGGAACAGGTTTAACAGTTATAATACTTAAGTAAATATCTCACGATCCTAACGATCAATTACTAGTACTTGTAATAACTGTAAGGACTATATCTATGCTTGTGACAAAGGGACAAAGATATAGAATGCCAAGGTGTTTTATCATTAATACGAATAAAGGTTCGTTTATTACAATAGTAAATACGAAAGACCACAGCCACAAGTTGGCTTGTTGGTCACCTACTCTAACAATCTCCCACTTGACCTAAAGCCAACTACCCATAAACCGCAATCCCATCGACTCTCGATGTTTCTCATGGACCGATCTTGGTAAAGGCTTCGTGAAGGGGTCTGCAACGTTCTCTTCCGAGGTGACTCGTTCTACCTTAACTTCACCTCTATCAATGATCTCTCGGATCACGTGATACTTCCTCAGAATATGCTTCGACTTCTGATGAGATCGCGGCTCCTTAACTTGCGCCACGGCTCCGGTGTTATCACAGTACAACGGTACTGGATCACTAGCATCAGGAATGACACCCAACTCTTGGATGAATTTCCTTATCCAAGTCCCTTCTTTTGAATTCATTCCTTAAGGTAGGTCCTATTAACTGAGTAATACTATCAACTGTATTCTCTGGACTATTTTCACTATCAGCACGTCTGACTTGAGCGTCGGAGGGGTTTCCGCCGGATCAACCCCCGGCGTAGTTCACGTGTGCTCATTTCGCAGGTACCTCAGGATCATCAAATTGTCGAGCTACTGGTCCGCTTTGCTCTCCCAGTTCATTTTCCACCCTAGGTGAGCTACATATTAGCATCATCAAGTATGGTCACATTTTCCAGTGTAATCATTCCGATTGCACTCATCTTTTCGGATGCGAGGTGAATACTGACCTTGTCTTATTCCAGTAATAATTCCGATTACACTTATCATTTCGGTAGGCTTGGAAGAAACGCCTGTTTTCCACAAAAATGTATATATGCATATAGTTCATTATCAAAAGGGATGGGGTATATTCATCTCAAAAAAAAAAAAAAAAAAAAGGGATGGGGTATATCGTACCGAGACAAAAATAGAGGTACATTGCAATCGGCATATTGATAATATTTAGAGTGGCAGCAGAATTATCAATAGGGGTCCCACTACTATAATAGCAAAAAGGGCAGATTACATTAACAAGTCCCAAGTCAAACCACTGCACAGTTAAGTAAAATAATAATATAATAATAAGTCCCAAGTGTAAATATACCTCGTCTCAAGAACGATATAGCTCCTGATCAATGGAATAAGACGAGGTCAGGATTTCCCTAGCAAGGATTTACCTCGTATCCTAGAGAAGTTCAGAATTACTGGCATAAGACGAGGTCAGCATTGACCTCGAATCAGAGATGTAATCTGAACGCAATGGAATAAGACGAGGTCAGGATTGACCTCGCATGATACACTAAACTAAGACGAGGTCAGTATTGACCTCGCGTCCAGGAGATCAGAATCACTGGATTAAGGCAAGGGGGGAGGTTGGCATACCGACATATAAAGAATACGAGATTATATCAGCCTAACCACCAACAAACGAAATCGATACGAACGAAATAAAACATTCATATTATATATGAAATGTGGACAAACAGCAAACAAAAGCAGCACAGAAAAAAATCAAGGGGCCAGAGGGCAACCCTCGTCCTAAGCCTGATCTAGAGTAGCCTCGTTCTCTGCCTCCGCTCCGGCGGTCAGCGCGTCCGTCAGCTCCACAGGACCTGCCCCGGTATAGGGCCGAAGTGCCTCTTCCAGTGGGATGGTATACCAAGGTTGCCCATCACGTCGCACCTTCAATGGTTGCCAGGTCGCCGGCATCTCGTTCGCAGGCAATCTCCCCATTATGTTGAGCGGATCCAGCTCGACTGATGACACACCAGCCTTCGAAATGTCCCTTTGTGCGATCTTGATCGTATGCGACACTGCGAACTCCGTATACGGCATCAGATCTGTCAAAAAGTCCGGGGAGTTCCGGTACATTTGCCTTAGTTCGGCCGAGAACTTTTGAAGCACAGCTCGACCTTCGTCGGAAGGAAGGAAGGCACGATATCCCTCCTGCCAAGCGCGAGATTTCTCCTCCTCGAGGGCTGCTATTTCGCGGGCATGTTTGACCTTTCCTTGCTCAAGAGCAGCGGCTAGCTCTTGGGCTCGCTGCTCCGAGGTTAAAATCTGAGCCAGGCGAGCCCTCTCTTGTTCGGCAGCATCCGCCCTCGTTTTCTCAAGCTCCTCCCGCAGACGAGACAGCTCTTGTTGAGAGTGCGCCGACGGCAGACCCCTGTTGGCAAACAGGCCAACGAGGTGGCAAAGGGCGGCACAACCCTGCCGCTGCAGCTCGTCTTCCCCTAATTTGTCAAGCACCTTTTGATCATTGGGGGAGCGGAAGCTGCGGATGAAATCAACCATCTCGTCCGAGCCAGGCTTCGGAATAAGTAGCGAAGCAGGCACCGATATGGTTTTGGGTGCTGGACGCGCCAAGGCAATGGATGTGGGCAGCGACGTTTTGGGAGGGGGCGGCGGAGCATTTTTCTTCGAGCTCGAAGGATTTGCATCAGGGGCATCCTCGGCACCTCTTTTGCGACGTGTTGACTTGGCTGTATTTGTAGCATCGGTCGACACGTCGGGTGCGGTGTCTGCCTCGCTGGTCGCCCGTGGCATAGATAAAGCTTCGCCTTCGGCCACTGCAACGGCCTTTTTTGGTGTCGGGGTAGAACGGAGGTGAGCAAACATCGCTACTTCTGCAAAAACATGGGAAAAGGATTAGCAGATGTTTACAAAAGAAAATAATACGGATATAGACGAGATGATTACCGCGTTCGGCGGGAGTCATAACAGGCCCTTGTGGGCGGAGTAAACCGAAGGCAGCAAGAAGCCCCGGCGTCCGTATGGCATTTTCTACGTCTAAAAATTGATTATGGAAAAAACATTCTATATACGCGATATCGACAAGCATGTCCTCGGTTCGAGGGGGCGGGGTTTGGACTCTACCGGCGTGAGTAGTAAAAGGCCACGGTTCGTTACTCCGGACAAAGAAGTACCTTCGGTGCCAGTAGTTAATCTTATTCGGGATATTAGTGAAGATATTTCTATCTCGTCGATTAGACAGATAGTACATCGACCTAGAGCGGCGGGCATAGAAAAAATAATCGAATAGCCCGCCGCATATGTTTTGGATACCAAGAAGGGTGCACACCATATAGAAGCAATTTAGTATACTAAATGCATTAGGGGACAACCGACATAAAGGGATTCCGAAACGGTTCGCGACGTCTACTAAAAAGGGGTTTATAGGAAAGGAAAGACCGGCTTTCGCTTGATCCTCATACCAGGTCAAAAGCTCGTGATCGGAATAACCCGGAAGTTGGGATGGCTCGGGGTGTACGTACCGATATCCATGCCCAAACTCCACCGACTCTAGGACCCAAGTACTGTCCACTATTGAATAGGGCTTTTTGGAGCCCGAGGAAGGTACGGGGTTTAATGCTAGCCTGTCGGGATCTAAGGGGGCATCACCTACCTCGCCTACGTCGTCAAACGCGGCGTCGTCTAAGAGAAGGTACGAGGTGTAGGAATCACCTAGAAGTAATTCTGAACCACTACCCGAGGGAGGAGAATCGCTAGACATCCTACCAAAGGATAACTTTGATAAACAATGGAATGAGAAAATCACCTGCTAGAATGGCCTCTGGTGAAGCTAAGGGATACTCCGGGAAGGGACTTGGCGTGCCGTCGGGAAAGATGAAGCAGACGGAAAAAAAAAAATTTGCACGAGTCGGAAAGGGGCAGATGCAGAAAATTAGCAAGGGAGGAAGAAGAGGTTGCGAAAAAATTGGAGGCGGCCTTTTTGGAATGTATTTATAGTGAATTTCTATCCCTACCCAAACGAGGGGAATCCGGCCGTTCATTTCAAATTAAAGAACGGCCACGATTCCTCAACGTTCCACATACCCCAAAACCTCTGGCATATCAACAGTCGCCATACAGAGGCAGACACGTGGACTTACCACATTAAATTTTCTGCATTAATTCATATGCTTACGCGAATTCCGAGGACAGGGTCATGATTGCAAAGGCTTTTTCGGCAAAAGCAGGCGGCAAATGAAAAGACCGAGTAGACAGAAGCTTAACCTCCATCTCTCTCTGTACCTCTTTTCTCAAATATTTGATCATTTGAGGGTGTTTTTTTTTCATAGGTTTATTCTGTTGAAGATAAGGATGAACTGGAAAGATTCGTCACATCCCCCAAAGTAAATGTATATTATTATAGTTCAAACAAGAATGGGTGTTCTTCTCACATGATCTATACTACAAATCTTGAGGAAATAAAAAACCAGGTATTGTGTAAATTGAATGTTTTAGTAAATTTAATCCACATGAACTATCAATCGACGCCTTTGTGTTTAACAGTTTATGTTGGCGCTCCGGACGAATTCGGTTGATCAGATTAGTCTCAGAAACATCAAAAAGACTCTTCAGAGGCTGCATTGTAATATAATATTTTGTCTCGAAAACCTTGGATTGTGGGGGGCATTACAGGTAAGGATCACAAGATTTGGTTATTCTGTTTGGCCTCTATTGCTTTTAGATTTAATACATTGACTAGTGCTGCTTAATTGTGCCTCTATTTAACCGTTCTAAGATAGTAAACTGTAAAAGTGAAAAACAGTTTTTAACTCTTCCTGTCTCAAATGTTATTCTTATTGGTTATTTGCTCGTTCCTTTCCATGAGGTCTCTTAAGCTCTTGCCTTTTTAGTTTTGTGTGTGTGTGTGTGTGTGTTACCGCGCATGGCATGCCACATTTATATGGGGAATGGGGATAACACAACGTACTAGAATTATGAGTCCTTGGTGTCTTGGATCCACAAATCTGAATTGAAATGCATTGATATATACCTAAAAAATCTCAGACATGCTTCTAGGGAACAGTTTACATTATATTACGTCCAACCTCTATTTTGTTGAAGTATCATAACTCAAAGTTTTGTATACACAGAAGTCCAGTAAATGTCATTAACCGACAAAAAAATAATAAATTACTGCACAAAACCTCATCTCCTACGATCCTCATCTCCTACGATCCTGATCAAAACCTCCCCCAGTTTCTCCGCCAAAACCCCGCCGACTATCTCCCCCTCGTAACCACAATTTTCATTTACTCTCCTTCAAATTAAGAACACCAATCTGATCTGCTTTTACAATAATGCATTTATATTTTTTCTCATTGCATCTATATCACATCGTAATTTTGCCTCGCTAGGTCTTTTTCTGTCAGTTATTCAAGTTTCAATTAGACTGAAACAATTATCATTTAGTTGAAAGATATCTTATTCCAACTCCAGCGTTAAGAGATGAACACAAAAATCGCTTCTGACCCTTTCTCTTTTGTTGAGTAGTTTGGAAAATGAAGTGCATATGATAAAAGAGGAATGTAGAACTTCTGTCTACCTTACACATTCAATTATGTTAGAACTTTGTATCAGTTTACTGATATCTTTCTTTTACCTTCTCTTATTTTTGAAAAAAAAAATAAGAGAAGCAAACTATATCTATTGCTAAAGCAGGAATAACAACAGTTCTCAATTCCCGGACCTCTGTGCTTGCTGCAGCTAACCCTCCATCTGGGCGTTATGATGATCTCATGGTCTGTTAGTTTCTGTTAAATGACTGTTTATATTGTCACTATTTCAGTCGGTTTTAAGTCTTTTTACCATTGAGAAACTAACAGTCCTTATTTTCTTTTTCAGACCGCTCGAGACAACATTGATTTACAGACCACCATTCTTTCAAGATTTGATATAATATTTATTGTGAAAGATATCAAAATGTATGCGCAAGACAAGGTATGTAAACATTAATCACTTTGGATAGCATGTTACTCATACATAAGCGACCCCTCAGACTTTTGCTTTTGCGTCTCTCTAAAAGTACGGTCGTGGTAAAATCCAAATATCTCTATTGAACATGAGTATAGGTTGTTACTCAGAATGTTGTAATAGAGCTCCTTAAAAGCCAAGTGAAGAAAATTAGCTAAACCTAATCAGATGCTATTCATTTGCAGAGTATTGCCAGCCACATCATCAAAGTTCATGCATCAGCTGATGCAACTGCAACTGACTCGAAGACTACCAAAGAGGACAACTGGCTGAAAAGGTATGCAATTCTATTTAGATCCTTGTTTTTGTCGCAAGGGTTGCTTAAGCTTTGTTGGTTGGGTTGCTGATGTATTTAAATTTCGCGTGCAGATATATACACTATTGTCGAACTGAGTGTCACCCACGTCTCTCAGAGTCTGCCGCGTCTAGATTGCAGGAGAGTTATGTAAAAATTAGACAGGTATTTGTTATACTGTTTCTAAATAATACTGAATTGGATGCTACGATTAACCATTTGTAACCATCTTAGTCTAGCAATAGTTACTTTAATTAATGCTTCAAATATTCAATTCAATATTCTGGAAATGATTTGGACATGCTATTTAACTTCTTATTGGATAGAGTTTTTCAAGTGTTATTTTCCTTTCTAGCCAAAGTGTTGGTTACTGCTCCTAAATCTGCATAGAAACCTTATGTTGACGTTGTCTGAAGGAAAACATTTCCATGAAAAGTATCATGTTTCGTCTGATGCTTAGGATGCTTGTATTTTCCCTGTTTTTTATTGATGCATAATGGTATTACATGTTATCCATAAATTTCTCTTACGCTATTTGATTCTTGTAGGACATGAGACGGCAGTCAAATGAAATTGGTGAGACAGCCGTAATACCAATTACAGTGAGGCAGTTGGAAGCTGTTGTGAGATTAAGTGAATCACTTGCTAGAATGACACTGTAAGTTGATGTGTTCCGTGTTGTACCGTATGTGATTATTATACTTCCCATTGCCTAAATCGTATGTGGTTCTAAATTTGCAAATTTGATGTACGCTGAAAGCTCAAGAAGAGTAATAATTCTTAAAAATCTCCTAACATGAGAATTGTATTTTATCGTGTGAGAAGTTGCCGTTTACTGAGCCTTATTTTTTCTGACAATTAGGTCTCATGTTGCAAATGACAACCACGTTCTTGAAGCAATAAGGCTCTTTAACAACTCTACAATGGATAAGCACGTGCCGGAGTTAATCAACATCTACACCTTACTCCCGAGATGGCAAATGAGATAAAGGTGACCACTGTTTGGCTCTCAATTACCTTGTCTATTTTTACGTATTATAATAAATTATACCGATGCTAAATCTGTACAGCAAGAGGAAACCCAGATAAAGAGAAGAATGGGTATAGGAAGCCATATATCAGAGAGAAGGCTGATCGATGAGCTCACGAGGATGGGCATGAATGAATCTATTGTAAGAAAAAATCAATGTTTTGAATTTTAACCAGTAGTAGATAACATATATTAGAATTTTTAAATGTCTTTTTTCTATAACTGATCTATGTGTGTGTGTTTCTGACAGGTAAGAAGAGCTTTAGTAGTTATGCATCAAAGAGATGAAGTAGAATATAAGCGAGAAAGACGGGTAATTGTCCGTAAAGCTTGAAGCCCGATGCTCTTGCCTTTGTAATCTGCCATTTTTCTGCAGCAGTGTAGCCAATCCATCATTTTAGAAGAATTATTTGTTCTATGATGCGGTGAATGATGTGTTTGTTATTTAAGTCTGTTTGTAATCGAACGCTTAAAACATTTTGATTATAATATCTATCTTGTGAAACTAAGCTATTGCTCCGTGTATCTTGCACAGAAAACTGGCAAGGAAGCTTCGTGTTGGTTTAGAATAGCAACTACACTAAAGCTTCGTGTTGCGTGAATATGTATAAGTTTGAAAGTTGAGTATAATGGATTTTGAACTACGTAATTTGAGATATTAAACCTTATAATTTGAGACATTCAGCCTAATAAGTTGAGATAATAAACCACATAGTTATGGATTCATATGAATCTGATCCGGATCAATCCAAGTCCAATCCACTTTGATTTCATTCATATAGGTTGATTTTCAATCCGATCCAAATGAATCTGAATCAGATCCGGTCCAAGGTAAGTAAATAACCACCCCTACCTCATCTTAATATTAATTCCCATTTCACTCTTTTATGTTTGATTTGTTTCATTTTCATGATTCGATCTCTATAATCCATCTCATTACATCTTATTAACAAAAGAAAGGTTCCTGGAGAAACCCTAGAAAACCCTAAGGTCAATTTTTCCCGCTCATTTGGAGGATATCTTATAATGGAATTAAATTTAATTTTCTAATCCAATTTTTTTTTTTTCATATTATTAAATTTCGTATAATCTAATAATTAAACACCTAATTAAATATTATTTTCTACTAATTCTTTAACTAATCTCCTAAACATTGGCATAATTCTAAATTAATTTTCCGTATAATCTAATAATTAAACACATAATTAAATATTAATTTCTACTAATCATTTAACTAATCTTCTAAATATTTAATTTTTTAATCCAATTTTTTTCATATTATTAAATTTCGTATAATCTAATAATTAAACACGTAATTAAATATTAATTTCTACTAATTCTTTAACTAATCTCCTAAATATTGGCATAATTCTAAATTAATTATTAATTTTCCCTATAATCTAATAATTAAACACGTAGTTAAATAACACAAGTTTTGGTTTGTATAGGGATTCATGGGGCGTGCGATTTTGTGTGGATTTGGTAGGGAGGATGTTGATGAGATGTGTGGCCATATGAAAGGCTTCAACCCAATAGGTGGGGGGAAGGGAAGCTTGAAAGAGAAGTGAGCGGATCATGTTTGTGATGGTGCGGATCATGCGTTCGGCATGTCGGTTTTGAGGTGGAGAGTGGGGACATGAGAAACGGTGTAAGATACCGTGTTTGGCAAAGTATGTTTGAAAATCGGTGTTTTTGAATTCACGTCCATTATCGCATTGTAAAGCTTTAATGGGGTGCTGAAATTGGGTTTGTATAAGTTTGTGAAACTGTTGGAACAGTGAAAAAACATCAGATTTATAGTGTATTGGGAAAGTCCATGTATAGTGGGTGAAATCATCTATTAACACGAGGTAATATTTGAAACCAGAAATAGTAGAAATATGAGAGGTCCATAAATCAGCATGAATAATTTCAAAAGGTGCAACGGTAAATCAGCATGAATATGGGACGTTCTCCTTTCTGCTGGAAGCGGGGCTTATTTTGGAATTTTTGGTGCCGTGGCGCATCCACGAATTCTCCAAGGTGCCCTTTTTTAATTAGTCTCTCGATTTCTTGCTTTAGTTGAAAGCATTCGTCGGTAGTGTGTCCCCGATCTCGATGGTACTCGCAATATTTTTCCGATTTTTGCCTTTTCAGATTTCTTTCATCTGTCTCGGGGGCTGGACTAAACCTTTCTGCTCCGCTACCATCCAAACGTCCATGAGTTTCGCTTTTAGGGGAGTAAACTTTGGGTAGGTAGGGGCGTGGATCGAACGTCCTTCTTCCTTCTTTTTTGCCTCATGGCGCTCTTCTTCGCGCTTCCTTTTCACGGGAAGTCCCATCTCTACGACCTCTTCTATCCGGATAAACTTCTCCGCTAGATTCAGAAGCTCCTCCAGAGTTTGTGGGGGTCGTCCTGCTATGGATTCTTGGAAGCGAACGTGCCTCAAGTTATGTTGTAGTATATCGGCTAGTAGGTCGTGGTTAACATTGGGCACCTCGTGCACAGCTTTGACGAACCGTTGTACATAGTCTCTCAACGGTTCTCCTTCGCGTTGTTTGACTTTGAAGAGGTATGACCCGGTTTTGGCGTATCGATAATTGGCCCAGGCCGTCCAATGATCCTCCAGGCAAACCGTTGAACCAAGTGTGTGCTTGATCAGTTAAGGTAGTTTGGAAAATTTTGCAGTAAGCGGTATCACTGAGGCCGTAAAGGTCGATCTTAGCGAAGAAATTGTTAAGGTGAGTTTGAGGATCTCCGGTTCCATCGAACTAGGGCAGATTGGGGATCCTAAATCCGAGCGGTAAAACTTCCTCCATAATGGCCGGAATAAAGGGGCTTATTCGGGCGGGGAGTGCTCCAAATCGAGCGGCTGATCTTGAAATTTCTCGTCGTGGGCTTCTCGAATTACGTTTGTTACCATTTTCGCGGTGCCTTCTCGTTTCTTCAGTCTGAGAGTACCTACTCCCATGTTCGTCTTGTGGGAGTTGCCTCGGCGAAAGGATCGTCCGCGACGTCTATCGTCTCGAGGCCATTCTGATTAAACCGAATAAACATAAGCCCATGATGGCCTAACTCAATATTACGAGAGAAGCCGTTGGGTCGTATGCCTCCTCGGTTGAGAGGTTGGACCAAATTGGGGGGCCATCGCACAACACCTCTGCGAGTTGATCTCTTGTTACCGCGAGTTGCATTTGGTCCCAATTGAATGGTTCATGTCGGAGGTTATAAAAGGAATTGATAGCTTTGGCACACCAACCGACCCACTTTCCTCGAACCGTGCTCAACTTCCGATCCGTTGTAAGGAGGATACGGGTGTTGGCGTAGAACTAGCGAACCAAAGACAAATTGATCGACCCCTCCGGTTCCAATAATGCTTGCCACCCTCGTCGTATGAATTCTTGATGCAACGGGGCAAATTGTGGAAGGGTGATCTCATACGCGCGCTCCGTCACAAGCTTCTTCACTTTTTGTTTCTCAAAACGAGCCTTGGCGCCTTCGACACAAAAAGAATCGTCATCGGGGGTTGGAATTTGATCGGCCTTCTTGCCCTTCCCCTTGCATTTTGAAGTTCCTTCGCCTTGTGAGGTGCCCTCCCCGTCACGTCCTCGTTTCCCCGTGACTTGAGAATGCGTGTGGAAGGGATTTGAAGTGAATCGATGTTCGAAATTTCCCCCAAACTTGACTCGGGCAAATCGTCGAACACCTTGCGGGCGTTCTTGGTGGAATGGGTTTTTTGGAGAAATTTACCCTTCCTTGAAGCCTCCCTGCAAGAATCAACAACAAAACAACGTGTTTAAGTATTATGTGTGTGTAGTTGGTGGAATTTAGGCGAATTTGTTCAAAGAAAATCGAAAATTTTGAAAAGAGGGGATTAGGGTTCGAATGAGGAGAGAAAGAGGAATTAGAATTGTGAGAACTTTGGGTTGGAAAACCCCTCTTAATCTGCCCCGTTTTTTATCTCGGACGGCCGTGCGAGATTTAGGTGTAAAATCCGCACGGCTGCGCCGTTTCTCAAATTTGGGCAGTAGCCTTTTGTTTTCTCGGACGACCGTCCGAGATTTAAGTCACAAATTCGCACGGCCGTGCCGTTTCTCAGTTTGGGCAGTAGCTGCCTCTGATTCTCGGACAGCCGTGCGAGATTTAGGTATAAAATCCGCACGGCCGCGCCCTTTCTCGAATTTGGGCAGTAGCCTCTCCGAAATCTCACACGGCCGTGTGAGATTCCTGCCTTTTTCTTGCACGGCCGTGTGAATAATTGCAATTAGGCCCCTGAAAAATACAAACTTCTTATTAGTGCCCTTGAAACTTTTTTTTTTGGGTGCTAAATACCAACACGCAAGTGCACGTATCGCAAAAAAGTAGTAAAGTGGACTCGTGAGAGTCGGATGTCGATCCCACAGGGAATACGCAAATTACCTATATGACACGTACTCGCGTGTATTATGAGTCTACTATTCATAAACGATTCACTATATGTCTATGCAAACCTAGTATGAATAAAGCATTAAAATGACAAGTCTCGTAAACGGCTACCTAAGGTATTATCTGTATGTCTACGATAATACATGCAATTAACACATTCATCCGGTGAAAACTACTCGAAGGCTCTCCTATCCTTGTTCTAATTATTAAAACGATATGTCAATCAATTCTAACAATAACATATAGCAACATAAATTAGCTACTTTCATGCGCTAAATAAAATCAAATAGGAGAAATAATCGAAGAATTTAAACTTGCATAATATTAGAAAAATAGGTTCGAATCACCACATAGGGTTCCAACAAAATCCTAGAATAAAAACTTAGCTACTCATGTTCTTAACGAAAAGCATAATAAAAATACGAAAGTTCATAAAAAATCTAGAAATAAAAGTAAAGGAAGAACTATGATGAAGATTCATCAAGTCTTCGTCTTCGTTGCTCCGTTCTCTTGCTCCTAGATTGCGTGTGTAAAAGATAAAAGATGCATTCCTAATTGTGTGCTTTTTGGCCTTTTATAGGGTGTAAAAATATAAGCGGCTGGTTTCCTTGTGTAAATAAAGTTCCTTCACTGCGCCACTTCGTGAACCCGGACGGCCGTGTGAGAATTAGACTTGAAATCCGGACGGCCGTCCGGTCTTTAATTCTTTAGAGTTTTGATTTTCTTACTTTTGGCCCACTTTTTCTCCGAATTTGCAGTTTTTACCCCAAAAGTTTCCAATTCTTCAATTTGTACCTAAAATACAAATAATAACCATTTTAAGCACCAATTATCGTTAAAACACACCAAAAGCCCCAATTAAAAGGTGCAATTAAGTATAAAAATATACGCTTAACACCCCCCCCCAAACTTGAACTTTTGCTTGTCCTCAAGTAAAATCAATTTATAGCACAAAACTCAACTACACATCTCATTACATAGATCAATGGCTCAATTTCGCGTTTTCAGAACTTGTAATTATGATGACAATTCTTAGGCATTCGCAAGTTCAACATTCAACGGCACTTAGTCACTCACTATCACCAAAAACCACAAATCATACAATTGCTTCAAGTATCCAATATTTGCAAATTAAAGATAGAAAGAATTTATACTTACATGCATATATTTGACTCCAAATACTCACCAAATTATTCTACTCAACTAATATTGAACATTAAGCTATGAGGATCATTGGGACTTTGTGGCTTTCAATTGTAAGGCTCTTTGATCCGAGGTAGGTAATATGGGTATGTGTGGCTAATTTCTTGAATTGAGGTGATTACGCCAAAATTTTGAAAGAAAGGCGTTTGAAACAATGAATTCACCTCTAAGGACTTTAATAAACTCGATTCTTAAGAGTTCAAAAGTCTCCACTTTTGCTCTTAAGAGAATGGATCGAGCTTTCAAAACAATTCAACAACTAGTCCTTATTTCTCCCATCTAATCTCTTCTTCTTCTTTTCTCTCTCTTTTTTTTTTTTTAATCTTTTTTTCTTTTGAATATATATATATATATATATATATATATATATATATAAAGATGCACATATATATTTCTGTTTTTTTTTTTTTTTTTTCGAAGAAGAAGAAGACCTTATAAGAATTTTCGACCGAACTTCACGGGGTAATTATTCAAAAATCTCCACTTTTCTACCTTCTACATATTGGCTAAAAGAAAGAACACCTTTTCTCCGAGGCTCAAATCAAGGTTCTAAGGATAAATTCGATAAAAAGGTAGGCTTGAAAGGCTCAAACGGTTCTAAGAAGGCCCAAATCATATCCCAAATTACTTATTACCCAATACTTCGTATCATAAATGTCCTAAGGTGAGATTTAAAACCGAACAAAGCATGATTTAGCACAAATAAATTCCAAATTTAAAGTACAAAACATTCAACCAAAGCAATGCACAAGATGTGATTCCTAGCAATAATTCACTTCTACGTTCCGTTGAATCGAAAGCTAATCGACTATCTACTCCTTAACAACATAAAACAAGTAATCTCATCATCAAACATTGACCATCTCCCATCATCATAATTCATCGATGTGTCGATCCAAATTTTTTTTTTTTTTTTAATTTTTTAAAAAAAACAAATAATAAGACGATAACTAAAACAAA